TAATTTTGTAAAAATTCCGAAATTTAATAATTAAATTAACAGTCGAAGAATAGTTTCTTGTTTTGATATTGACCGTGTTTATTTTTTTTATTATCGTCTTCGAACGGTGAGGACTGCTTCCGTTATAAATTGACTTTGTAAATAGAATTATTAAATAAGTAAATTGGGAAAAGATAGGAATTAGAGTGTTCATTTTTTTTAAATTAAGATAGACTTTTAAAAGAATAGATTTGTTAAATTCCTATTTGTGGGAAATAAGGGAATTAAATATTTTTTTTGTTGGTTTAGTTTGACTGTTCGCGATATTTTTTTTACTAAAAGGGAGGGTATCATTTCCTGTTTTGAATATAAAATTTCCGTTCCTTTATTTTTCCGTCCTGGCTACTTCCAATTAACTCACTGAGGGCTTAAAGTTCCGTGTGTTAATTTTCCTTCCTGTCTATTCCCAAATAACTCACTGAGGGCTTAAAGTTCCGTGTGTTATTTTCGTTCCTAGCTTTCCGCAATTAACTCACTGAGGGCTTAAAGTTCCGTGTGTTAATTTTCCTTCCTGTCTATTCCCAAATAACTCACTGAGGGCTTAAAGTTCCGTGTGTTATTTTCGTTCCTAGCTTTCCGCAATTAACTCACTGAGGGCTTAAAGTTCCGTGTGTTAATTTTCCTTCTTGTCTATTCCCAAATAACTCACTGAGGGCTTAAAGTTCCGTGTGTTATTTTTCTTCCTAGATATTCCTGTCCGACTTGGGGTTATAATAATAAATAACAATAAGAGGTAGTGTGGGTTTGATTCACCGTAGCTTGCTCATTGTATTCAGGGGTTTTAAAAACGAAACAAACATTTAGAAAGATTTCGAGTGGTCCTCACGAGTTACAGAAGTGCCGAAGTTGTAATTTTTTTTTTTCATACTAGCCTTGATTTAAATTTTGATTTACTACCGTAAATTTTGGAATTTTTAAAACTAATATCCTTGATTAAAATTTTGATTTGCTTTGCGATTTAAACAATTACCGTAAATTTAAATTGTTGAATCCGTATTATCCATGATTTACAATTAGATTATTTTTTTTCTCGATTTGAGAGTAATTGCCGTAAATTTAGAATTCATATTATCCAAGATTTAAATTTTGACCTTAGTCTGAGATTTCCGAATACAATTTTTTTTTGTATACGCGACCCCTTTACCGTATCCAGTTTAAGCAGTCTGATTGAGAATACCTGTCAACTATATCAGCCGTTCGTTACCGTTTTGCCATTGCTTCATTTTTTTTTTGTTCAGGGTTTCATAACCGAGGGTGGGCGTTGAAATATTTTATTTTCTTTTTTTTAGTGTATATAGTTAAAATCAATATATGTGTCAAAATTACCGTGACTATTACTGAGTTTACTGATCACCAATTTACTTCCCCCTTATTTTTCAGCAGTGAAAAATTCTTTGCAACCACAAGTAGTGATTAAAGCCCATTATTTGTGGCTACTAATTATTTGAGTCTAAGTAACCTTTGACCCCTGGAATTTTTCATCTCCATCTGTGCTGCCCGAGTACTTTCGACGCTGTTTCGAGAGTTTGTGGAGTAAACCATCACCAAAAATCTGGCGCTCGAGAACCGTCCGTAACCAGCGTCATTCGTAAGGAACCGTTTTCTCTGAGGCGAGAAAACCCCTTACAGTATACCTGTTGGAAATAAACATTTAATACCAAACAAAAACACAAGCGATTGCATTAGAACTAATGAAAATTAAAACCCTACAAAAAACTATTGAAATAATAAATCTAGCAGATGATACCAATGAGGGGAGTCATGAGAATGATTACGAGTATATCACAGTAACAAGACGGCAAAGGAGAAAAAACAAAACAATTATGGGAAGTGGAGAAGGTGATGATGAATTTAAAGGAAGGGAAAAATCAAACAAAAAAATTTGACTCTTTGTATTTAAAGTATCAGACTCTGTAAATGAAGAGAATGTTAAGAAATACATTCATAAGCGCACAAACGCAGAAGACATTTATGTGAAGAAACTAGATACATATTTTGTAAGACAGAATAATCAAGCTTTTCAGGAGCAAGTATATAAATCAGTTTTTTGGCCGAAAAATATAATTTATTTCCAATTCAACTTTAAACAAGGTCAGCGAATTCTTGAAGATTCACAAAACCAGAGATCGCATAAGAGTGAAGAAAATTTTTCAAACCTAGCCTCTACTTCAAACCTGATAAAATAAGGACCTCAAGGACTACTATGGAAAACCAATTTTTGAAAGAAAATAATGAATTACTATTTTGCAGTTCCCAACAGTTAAATATTACTTTAATGCATATCAATATACAGGGAGGTTTTGCCAATAAATGCTTTGACCTAAATTTAATTTTACAGAAACAAAATGTAGGTATTCTATGTGTTACTGAACATTGGCTTGATTCTAACAATTTACAATCTACCTCAATTGACGATTTTAAGCTAGTATCATATTTTTTACGGATAAATAAAGAAAAAGGTGGTGCTAGTATATTTATGAAAACAAGTATTGCTGCAAATTTTGAATCAATTAATTTACATAGGTGGTGTATAGATGGTGAATTTGAAGTATGTGGTGGAAAAATAAAGATCGATTCTAAACTTTTTTTTTATTGTACTAAGTTTAGCACTTTTATAAATCAGCTAGAGCTATTAATTCATAATATTTATCAAAACGACAATCACTATTTTATCTGTGGTGATATTAACGTAGATTTTTTGATTGAAGGTAATCAAAAAACTGTTTTTGTCTGATCATAACTAGTTATTATGTTTGATTAAACTACCTAATTTTGAAAATAACGAATTTAAATACAGATATAAACGAGATTTAAGTGATCCTAACGCAATAACTTTTATAAATATTTTATCAGTTGAAAATTGGCGTGAGGTATACACATCTACTAATTTTAATGATACATTTTCTATCTTTTATGAATCATTCCTATACCACTACAATATTGTATTTACGAAAACAAAGAAAGCGATAAAACCATAAAAATTAAAAAATCAGTTTCCACCTCATATTAAAGAGTTACATAATCTGTTATGTGAAATGAACAGGTTAAAGAAAGAAATAAATTCTACATATTATACAAAACGTTACAATAATTTAAAAAAAGAGTATCAAAAAATAACAAAACAATATTTGAGAAGAAAAAATAATGATCGTATTTTAAAAAGTAATAACGTAATGAAAGAATCCAGAGAAAGCACTACTGACAGGCATCCCGACGGATTTACGCAATGAAAGTACACTCTGCGCATCAAGTATTTCACTATTTCATTCAGACGTAAATGTCAGATGTAAATTTCGCTAAAACATTTCTTTTATTTTCGTTTGTGTTTTTTGCTCATTACAGTTTAATAGAACCTAAGTATGGAGTTTAATAGCAAATTAAGAGGCCGCGTGATTAACAGTCAATCTCGCGAAATAATAGCCAATGTTATAGAGTTTATGAGAAGAGAAGGAAACTTTAATTCACCTTCAATACCATTTAAAAATGTAAATGATCGTGTTGCTGCAGCCACAGGAGTATCTAAAAACACTGTCGTCCGCATTTCTGGAGAGAAAAAAAGAATCGATAACCGTGAGATATCGGAATTTTCATCACCAAGAAAAACCATTAAAAAACCAAAAACAGTTAATGATATAGATGAAGCTGCACAAGAATCAAATTTTATTTTTTTATTATTAGATAGCTATTTTTGTTTCTGAGTTGTGTTCATTTACAGGCTCAATTTTTTTCCGTTTCTCCTTTTTGATTTTATATGGGGTTTCAAGTTGTTTTTGACTTATTTCGACGTAAATCACAACAACACACTTTTTTAATAAAGCAAACAAGTGTTAAGAGGTATATGTACGTGTAAACTACAATTACAAAAAATTGATATGAAACCCATGAAACCACCAACAAAAATGTAAAGCTAGCTTCCGTACTAGAACATGGTGTCATTCGTCGAGATAATTTATCGTTTTGTTTAATAGATCAAGAAATGTAAATATTCCCCTGTTATTTTTTATAAAATTATAAGAGAAATAAATTTTTTTCTAAACAGTATAGTTTATTATTTTGTAGAAAAACAAAATTTCGAAAATTTTAGTAATATTTCAGAAACAACCGTTATTAATAATAGGTACCATTTTCCTTAATAAGGTAGAAATAAAATATAAACTATTTCCACGATTTACAAAGGCCTACAAAAAAATTATAGGTATTTTCCGCTATCCTATAAAATTTATATTTTCTGACTCAATTTCAAAAGGTTGAAGGTATTTCAAAACACCTTTTATGGCATAAGAATTATTTTCAATTCTACATACTATCTTTAGCTGCTTTTAAAAACGTTCTAAGAAAGTCCAATCAGACCAATTTAATCCCTAAACTATTCCACACTTTTAAAATTTAATTACCTAAAAATATTAAAAACTATTTAAAATAACTTGTTTAGCAGACTGTACAATAGCTATCTTAGTCACACGTAGCGCGTTCTCTGTCTGGGCGTCGAACACCTCTAGAAATTTGATGAACTGTATTAGAAAATACTACAGGTTATCATCAAATTAGTCGTAATGATTTAAGAAAACATCTTAATGATTTTCTTGTAAATAATGTATTGTATAGTATAGAAGATTTTTTGAATTTTTAAACTAATCTTAACATGAATTGTCTATTATATATATTTTATTTTATTTTTTAATGTATTTTACTTAACACTTTTTTGACTAGTCTGATAGGATTTTATATTATGTACCTAGTGTCTGTGTATAGTGTATAATTCTCAAAGATGAATAAATTCTATTTCTATTTCGATCTCTATTTAGAACTAGAAAATGCAGGATCTAATAGTGAGAGCAGGAATTGCAGATTAAATTATTCTTACCGCCTAGAATGTCATAACGATACATCTCTAATTTAGTACCAGAGGGAATATAATTTCATAAAAAGCAGGATCTAACAGATTAATTCATTATTCTTACCGCCTAGAATGTCATCTAAAAAACTTCCAAAATAGTCGTCCTCATCATCGTCATCATCGTCATCTTCGGCTGGGCTATCGTCGTCATCATCATCGTCGTCATCATCACCTCCGACTCCTAGATCTAAATCGTCGTCATCATCGTCGTCGTCATCGTCGTCATCATCACCAGATTGACGGCCCTTTACCTTAAACAAAACAAGTTTGTGAAAAAAACGATGTCGTTCTATCTGCTATTTGAACAGTAGAGAACAGTAAAGGCACAACAGTTGATAACGGTCAATCAAATTTCATTTTTTTTTTAAATAAATTATTAGGAAAGTTTCACAAAGAGTTGATATAATCTATAAGTCAAATTACTGATTGTGCCTTTGCTGATGACCCAATTCAAGCCTTCTTTAACTAAGTATCCTTACCTTGCCCTTGGTCTTAATTTTCTTCACAGCGACTGTAGTTTCCGGCTTTTTCGATTCATTTTTTTTAATAGGCACTAAGTCAGCACTGCTGACAGGCTTGCTTTCGACCTCTTTAATGCTCTTTTCTTCTTTCGTCGCAATTTTATCCTCGCTGACAGTCTTTTCCTCGGTTTTAGCTACTGTTTCTTCTGATGGTACCGCTGATGCTATCACTGATTGTACCGCAGATGCGACCGCTGATGCTACCGGTGTCGCTGATGCAACTCGTTTAACTGGTGAAACTTGTGCTACTGGTGCTACAGGTGCTACAGGTTCAGCTTGTGCTACTGGTGCTACGAGTGCGGGTTCTTTTTCAGTCTTTGTTGCACTAGTTTCAGTCTTGAATACGCCCTGCGTTTGTTCTTGGGCTATACCTTCTTTTTCTATGGCTAATTCGGTTTTGGGGTCTAACGATCGACCTTCATTATCCGCCGTGATGGTGATGATGGGATTCGCTCGACATTCCCACAGGAGTAAGCACAGGAGCGTGCTTAGGAAGTAAAGTCGCATTTTTTAACCTGAAACAAAAATAGAATATTAATAATAATGCATTTATTTTCAACAGTATCATTCAATAACAGAAAATAAATTATTTATAATATAATAAGAAAAAAAATTATTAAAAATGGTCTTTTGGTTCATTATAAAGAGAACGTGGAAAAAATTAGTTTAGGACCCAAGATCTTTAGGAATTTTTCGTTTATTCAAACACACAGGGTAATTTGCACGTAATTTTCTAATGCATCAGCTTTGGGATCTCTGTTGGTTTAGAACAGTGGTCGCCAACCTCTCAATGTGTTGAGCTACTTTGTTAATTTTGGAATAAACAGCGAGCTACCCACACGAAAGCCACGTAACGCAACGTAAATGAAATAATCCACAGTTAATTTATCATTATATGTATTTATTTTACTATTTAACTGTTAATACATAATACATAGGTACTAATAATAAACTAATAACAAAATTACTAATATGACTAGTACGTACTTGTTCATAGCTACATTCCTACCTACCAAACGAAGGTGTTTGAAAAATAAACATGCCACAACGGCATGTCACGTAAGATTTAAAATTAGTTAATAATAACAACAAAAAAGTAACGCACTAACATGAACATAAACATTGAAACATAAAAAAGCACGTTCAATGAGAAGGCTGACACTCAGACTCATCGATAATTTTTTTAATGTTTGCAGTATAATTTGATACAGCCATTCGAATACAATTATCCAAATGTTCATCTGTAAGTCGATTGCGATATTTGTTCTTAATAAACTTCATATTGGAAAAAGAAGATTTACACAAATAGGTTGAACTGAATAATGCTTTCACTTTCAAGGCAACACGGCATAGAACTGAATATTTGTCTTTACTTACAGTAGGCCAGATACATTTGGTACTTGAGACTAACGATTTTAAGGCTAAATCATTTTAAAACTCAATTACTTTCATTTCTGTTGCAGCGATGTCTTCGCCAAAGGTCTGCATAACACAAGTTGCAAACTGTTGGATATCAATTTCCATAAAGGGTGAAACAACAAACTGCGCTTCTAAAGCCATTTCGTTGAAATCCTTAAAACGATTTTTGAAGTTATTCTTCAGGGTAGAAACTATTTCTACGTGATATTTGCTGTCATAGGGTTCTAATGGATTTTGAGATATTTTTTCTGAAAGAATAGGAAAATGCTTGGCATCGCTGTTAATTAGGTTTTGTTCCCAAAACTCCAGCTTTTTGATAAATGCTTTTATATCAGAAATCATTTTCGCTAGTTCTTTGTCTCTCCCCTGAAGCTGCAAATTAAGTTCGTTTAATTTTTCTGTAATGTCCACGAGAAAACCAAAATCTCTAAGCCAGATTGAATTTTGTAGTTCCGGAGTCGGTTCATCGCGTTGTTTGAAAAATTGAACTATGCCAGATAGGACATCATTAAAACGTTTCAGCACCCGTCCTCTACTTAACCATCGGACTTCAGAGTGACAGTCAACAGTCAACTTCATCGGCCAAGGTTTTGAATAATCTTCTTTGTAACGCTTGAGCTCTAATCTTGTTCACAATTTTTACCACCAGTTTCATAACGTTGTTTAGTTTCAGGAAATTTCCACATAATGCTTGCTGATAGATAATGCAGTGGTAACAGAGAAATTGCGGAAAAGTTTCATCTTTACTACATAACGCCACCAGACCCTTATCACAACCCACCATAGCTGGAGCGCCATCGGTTGTCAAGTCTACCATTTTCGATATTGGAATTTTCTCGGAAGAAATAATATTTTTTAAATGAGAAAACAACTACTGTCCAGTAGTGTGTCCTTTCAGTGGAATAAACTTTAAAAGATCTTCTTTAATCGTAAAATCACTAAAAACCATCCTGACGAACACAACCATCTGGGCAGTGTCAACGACATCTGTTGGTTCATCCAGTTGAAGTGAAAAATAAACACAGTTATCTAAGTCAGTTCTTAACTGTAAAAAAATATCATTGCTCATTACTTCTACACGTCTCATCACTGTATTAGCAGAAAGCATAGATTTTATACCTGAAACTATCTCGTCTTTATTTCTAAAGTTGGCAAATAAGGAATCGGCAGCTTCTAAAAACGCCTGTTTTATCATTTCCCCGTCTTCATAAAGTTTCTTTTTTTGTGCAATTATCTGGGACACACGGTGCGATGCTTCAGTTGCAGCCTTATTTTTGTCGACTGTTCTTAAAAATATTGATTGTTGTCCAATTAACTGCTTTTTTAACTGTTTCAGTTTCTCCTTTCTGGCGGCAGAATGTAGTGGGAATGATTTTTCAAAATTAGAATGTACAGTTTCATGATGTCTCTCAATATTTACTTTTTTAGCAACGGAGACCGAAGTATTACATAACAAACACACATTTTTATTTTTAACTTCTGTAAAAAAGTATTGTTCTTCCCATTCCGAATGAAAGTGGTACGTCTTTTCCTTCTTACAACTGCTTGCCATAATATTATTTTTTGTTGTTCTCTACTAATTCAACCGCTGGACGTTGGTTACGCGTTCAGTTTTAAACTAAGCGCAATGTCGCCGCGCCTTGCGTATTTATCCCGTTCAAAGCAATCCTGATCGTTCTCGATCACTAACGCGCTGGTCCGGCTGGTCAGTTCTAGCCGATTCTAGCTTGATGGCGGCAGCGGCAGATCGCTCACCGCAACGTTGCCGCTGTTTATGTTTAATATTATGACAATTAGATTTTTTTGTGGAATTTTCGGAAGCTTCTCTGATTTTTGCAGTTTGTATTTTTTAAATTAAAATCGTTGTGATAGCTACCAGAATTGCCTCCGCGAGCTACCGGTAGCTCGCGATCGACAGGTTGGCGACCACTGGTTTAGAAGAACGTTTTATTAAAGTTACACCTTGTTTCATAATTATTTTCTTGGACATTCCTGTAGACTTTAGTAACAGTTTTTCGCCAAAAAGTCATTGATCTCTTGAATAATATCGCGTGAAAGCCTGCCCTGTCCTTTGTTTACTCCCGCGATATGGAGTCTAGCGGCGTGCTGGCAATATAGATACTAATAGAGACAATAGGACACTTCACGAATATACCAGAACAAGCGGTACGTGACGTTGAGTTATAGAGATAGGAATTCTAGGACATTCTATCATCGTCTAGAGACCTCTCGTACAAAGTGGGTCTTGTATAAGTAGCGCAATTTCGTCGACGGACCAGTAGTTTAGAATAAAGTATTGGATTGAAAAGATAAATTTGTAATAAATAAATTAGAATTGTTAGTGCCTAAATTAAACTATCGTCACAATAATATAAATCTAGTTTCGTTATTTTATATTCTAGAATTCTCGTTTAATTTGAGTTCCTGGTAAAATAATAGTAATGGGTTGAATAGTTTAGTTAGTATGCAGTGACGTTTCAAAAATGCAGATTTCTAGAAATTCTTTACTCGAAGAATGCCATATTGATCACGATTTTGAAACAATTTCATGAGTAAATAAATTATATAAAATTTAAAAGAAGTTGTCTATCATTGTTTAAATATTTTACTTGTTATTAACTTTTAGATATTCTATTATCTATTTTAATTGGACTGTTTTGGTTTTAGTTTTTCATGATTTAAGACCCAATATAAATTTCATAAATATTAAAATTTTTGTACAATAGATATATGAGGGAGGTAAAAAATATATGGCGAAAATTACAATTTTCTTCATCTTTTCTACTTTTAGAGATATTATATCATTGCATGTTTTTAAAATTATTTAGATCCCTGTAATAGAACGTCCACCTTAATTACCGGATCTCGCCTTATGTGACCTTTTTTATCACCCAAGGTCTTTTTATTTATCCTTATCTTTACTCTGTTCATATTTGTCTTTGTCAGTTTTAAGCATGTACTTCACTGCTGGGCCCCAATATATCCATAATATGTAGTATACTCTCGATTGATCGAAGTGTACGATTATTTCACAACATTTTTAAAGATACTAAAAATTTTTGGGTACGCCGCTGCCGCATTTCTTGCTTATCATCGACGACCCGATATACCTCATTATTCTTTGTTGTGTTGAAGTGTACGTATCAATTTTTGGGAAAAATGCCGAAACAAAAATGTGACAATGAAAAATATAGGAAAATAAAAAGAAAAATGCGAAAACTGCAAGACATGTTGGAAACAAACCATACTACAGACTCCAGTTTAGACAGTAAGTACAAATAATGTATATAACCGCTAAAAAGTCTTTCATGAATCATGTTTTTTGCCGGCTAAAAAACTATTTCGGAGAATTCAAATTGAATGTGATGTTTCTGCTGCTTTATGCGAATAATTTCAGATCAGTGAACGAAATAAGATTTTGATTTAGTCAAAAATACTTGGTATCTGTCCTGCTTTATGCGAACGATATCATAATAATCATTTTTTAGAGCCTACTTAATTATTTTGGTTAGGCTAGAATTAAATTTAATGTGATAATTGTCCTGCTTTATGCGAACAATTTCACATCATTGAACGAAATAAGATTTTGGTTTACTTCAAAAGATATACTTGGTATCTGTCCTGCTTTATGCGAACGATATCACAATTACCTTTTTTTTTTCTCTACTACAAACGACATGCCATTAATGTCGATCATACACGTTTTTGTAAGTTGTAAAACTGTTGTTGATAATATAGATGTAGTTAAATACCTACCAACTATTAAAAAGATAATGATTATATTTTTTTTGCTTCATGCGAACATTTTCAGATATCTGCCCTGCTTTATGCGAATGATACCACAACACCCATTGCGACCGATGTCGAGATGAATACTTTTTTTACGCTCATGAATCTTGGATTTTGATTTATAATGCTTATTCTTTCACAAAAGATATTGTGTCAATACATCAAAATTTTTCTGATGACTCAGATTCAAGCTAAGTCTATGCTCCCAGGGTCAGGTAGTTAATATCTCAGATTGGCTGACACAGGCCACTGATGGCACTCACCTAAAAGACGATATTGCAAATAAAGAGACCCAGAACAGGTTAAA